AGTTGGAAGAAAAGTATCTTTCCAAGCACAGTGCTGGAAAGGACTCATTGAATCTTTACTGGATTAGATAGCTTTCTACTTCACTGGGATTAACAAACAGGAAAAAAGAGAGAAAAATTCCATTTGGTAAAAACATGAAAGAGCAGAAAATTAGACCAAAAAGAGGTGAAAGTCTTCTGCACATCCCAGTTGGCTCTGTTATGAATTTCTAGAGAAGGTAGCAGAGCAATGTGAAGGGCTTGACATGGTACAAAACTGACAAGCTGGATTATAGAATATGTTCTTCCTCTTTTCAAGTTTCTTTGGTCATTTTTTTCTGGCCAGAGACAAGGCCATCACATTTCAAAAATTAACTCAAAATAAAACAAAGGTTTGCAAAGCCCATTGGGTATACACGAGTAATTTATTCAGTGTGGCTTCATTTAACATATGTTGGTCAAAATCAATGTTTTGGCAAGTAGTAATAATTGCAAAAATGACACCAAGAGTAGGTCTGAAAATAAATAGGAGTTCTTTTATAATCACAAAGAAAAGAAGGGCATTAACAAACAAAAAGTGTTTATGAAACCTGGGAGATTATTTGAGCTGCCAATGAAATGGGATTCATAATGCCTCCCCCAACAGAGCATCTGGAAGCTCCATAAAACGGGTCAAACACTGAAGGTCCAGAGACTGTAATTTTTCAAAAATAATAATTGCATGGTAATATATTTGAATTTATATAGAAAATAAGCTACTCAATCACCTGGAACAGGTTTTTAAAAATACATATTGGAAAGAAAAAAAAAATAGCTTCAGCCTCTGCCTTGAGGAAAAGCCCCAATTCAGTGCACACAGTAAAACAGCCAAGGTGAGAAAGGCCCTGTGAGTCCAGGAGAGACACTCCAAGGACATGCCCTGTATCCCTCCCATGTCATTTTGTCCATTTTGTCACCAAACTCATTCATGGCACAGTAAGAAGGAATAGGTACAAAGGATGGCAAGAGGCTTGTGTGTTAATATCAGGGGCTCTACTCAGGTCCATTCAGGTCAACTGAGCACAAGGACGGTCCTTCCTTTAGCTCACTCTTTGTCGTGTTTGCTAACGCTGGTTTGTATATTCCTATAACTCATAATGTGACTCCGACTGTTCACGTAACTTTTCTGAGGCAACGTTCATACCACTGCATCAGACCCGAATAGAATGAAAGAAACGCTCGTGTTTGCTGGACTGCATGACCCCTTTTCTGATCAGACTGTCACATTAGATTTAAAGCCTTTAGAGACATGTTGGAGGCAACTGGAATTCTCAAATCTTTGGTCTTGTATAATTCTCTTACGTGTATTTAGGAAATTGCTAAGCCCTCTTTTATATGTTGCTGTGACTCAAAGTGTGAGTAATTGGGGTAAGAACACTGGCTATCTTTAGAGAAAGGCTCTTTGGATAAATTGAGAAAATTCAAACAGCTTTGTTCCTGTAAAATGCCAATTGAAACAGTTTTTGTAGATACTCACTTTTCCTCTTGTGATGTAGGACCCTAACCTAATTTTATTTCACAAACACCTCATTCCGGGGGAGAAAAATTTTTTTGACTGAAATAAACATACATCAATAAATATCTAGTGCTAAGATGAGCCTGAAGAGAAGGTTAGAGGTATTCTGAGTCATAAAACTGACAGTAAAGAACCTGGTTATTTAACATAATACACTCCTAAAGATAAGATGTGAAATGTAAGGTCGGCTGAGTAGGAAAGTGACTAAGGCAGTCAAGCACACTTTTGTATCATGCAGGTCTTTTATCAGTGGTGTAACTAATAAGGTTTTTTTTTCCTTCTTTGTGGGAGAAATTTATTTTTATAAATATCGAAATTTTTTAACTTCTTGAGCATCCAGGTCAGTTATTCTAAAATCCCTAAAGTCATAGTTTTAATTTTGTTTTAATTTGTTTGTTGTTGGACTTGGGCGGATCTTGTCTGAATTACCTTTTTATGTTTGCCACATTTAGAGTCCTCACTAACATCAAATTGGTTTACCTCCTCAAGTTAAATGGCTTTCTCTACCTTTTCCTTTTCAAATCTTTTAAAGGAGTAAAATTTCTAAAGCAATTCAAAAGGCCCCACACCTGGGGTGCCTGAGTGGCTCAGTCCGTTCAGCGTCTGCCTTTGGCTCAGGTCATGATCCCAGGGTCCTGGGATCAAGTCCCACATCAGGCTCCCTGCTCAGGGGGGAGTCTGCTTCACCCTCTCCCTCTGTCCCTCCCCCTCTGCTCATGCTCTGTGTCACACTTTCTCTCTCTAATAAATAAATAAAATCTTAAAAAAAAAAAAGAGGCCCCAGATCTGACTTTTGGGCATTAACGCAACTTCTGCGACTTTGACAGACAAGTTGGGGTATCAGAATTTTAGAGCTCAAATAAATAATTTGAGCCTGTTGACTCTGAGAGGGTTCATATAACTTCAGCTTCTTGGTGCTTATTGAAACCAAACAAACTTTCCTGAACACTGAATTAAGGCCCTAAAAAAATGAGTCCATAATATTATTTCCTCCAACCAACAGCCATCTTGGGCTAAATGAGTTAGCTCCTTAATTTCATGGGACTGAAAAATATACACAGGCTAAAGTTTAAAGAGAATGATTGAACCGGGGCGCCTGGGTGGCTCAGTCATTAAGCGTCTGCCTTTGGCTCAGGTCATGATCCCAGGGTCCTGGGATCGAGCCCCACATTGGGCTCCCTGCTCGGCGGGAAGCCTGCTTCTCCCTCTCCCACTCCCCCTGCTTGTGTTCCTGCTCTCGCTATCTCTCTCTCTGTCAAATAAATAAATAAAATCTTCAAAAAAAAAAGAGAGAATGATTGTACCATGTAAACAAAAAAGTCCAAGGCTTCAGGTAGATATTCCTCTCTTGCTCTCTCAAATCCACATCCTCTGTATGGGATCCACTTTCAGACAGGCTCTTCCAACAACCTTACATTCTCTCAGGTTTAATTATCTAAAAATAGTATACTCTTTCTTCAGAAGTCTCCCGAAAATTTTATTGGCTCTGGTTGAAACACGAGACCAGCTCTGAACATTCACCATGGCCCCAATCACTTTACATCTTGATGCATTGAACTAGTAACAGAGCCCACTACAAAGCCTACAGACTAAACATGGAAAAGGCGTTGTTTCCCAAGTGAAATTGAGTACTGTTCCTAACATTAAGGTAAACAGATGTGCAATGTCAGATACATCTGACAATTGGACAACACATTAGCAAGGTACTCCTCTACAATCATATATAATTTATTAGTGCTGTCATTGTACCTGCTCATCTCTTCTAAGTTCTAATTTCTGTGGCTTTGAGAACATTTAACACTCCTAGATACTTAGACAGGGGAAAGAAAAACATATTTCCAGGCAAAGACTTAATTAATGTTCATAACAGCTAACTTTCAGTATCCAAAAAGGAGATGCAACTCAATTCCCATTAATAGGTGAATGGATAAACAAGTCTGGCTTGTTTATCTATAACCACACAATCATATCTATACTCAGTAATAATAATAATATGCATACTTAGTAATAAAAAAGAATGCATTATTGATACATGCAACAAGATGTGGATGAATCTCAAAATATTATGCAGAGTGAAAGAAGCTAGACAAAAAAAAAGACTACATACTGAATGATTCTATTTACATAAAATTTTAGAAATGAAAACTAACCTATTGTGACAGAAAGCAGATCAAGATCAGTGATTGCCTATGAGTGGGGGGTCAAGTCAGGGAAGGGAAGATGGAAAGATTTAGGAGCTTCACAAGGAAATTTCTGAGGGTGATGGATATGTTCATTATCTTGATCAAGAATTGGCATTTCTTGCTGTAAAGGGCAAGATAGTAAATATTTTAGGCGTTGCAGGCCATATGGTCTCTGTCACAACTACTCAACTCTGCCACTGCATCATCAAAACAGCTATAGATAAGAAGTAATTAAATGAATGTGAGTGTGTTCCAACCAAACAGGGAGCAGCCCAACCCAGTCTGCAGGCTGCAGTTTGCCAATTCCTGATCTTGATTAAGATAATTGTTTTGCAAGTGTGTACATATGTCAAGACTTATCAGATTGTACACTTTAATTACATGCCATTTATTGGATGTCAATTAGGCCTCAATAAAGCTATTAAAAAATAAAAACAAAACAAACAGCATTAGCTTCCTCATCATGGATTGGATAAAGTTCATGCTTCTTGCCATGGCATACAAATCCCTCCATGAACTGGCCTCTGTATTCCTACCCAATCAGATTTATTGCCATTTTCTGGTGGGATTTTACCTTTTGGAGTGCCAAAACACACACATCATGCTATTTCAACTCTATGCCTTTATTTAGGTGTTCTATCTAGAATAACCTACCCTCACCAGTGTAAGATTAAACTTGCACATTTACAATTCCAAGATACCTTTCTTCTTCCCTTATCTTACTCCTTCATTTCTTCTTGTGCCACCATTATAATCTGTGTGTGTGTGTGTGTATACACAGATATATATTTATATGTACATATAAACACACTTGCACTATTACATTGATATATATACATACACATTCTTGCATGATTACACTTTTCCATACTTTTAACTATATATATCTGAAATTTTTCTTTTACATATGTAGAGTTAAAATGAATTATCATTCATTCTATATTCATTTCATGAATATCAGTAGACTTGGATATATGACTGAGCACTCCCTGTGTCTATTACATCTATCACAGTGCCTGGCACCTTAAAGAAACTTAGTAAATCAGTATGGCAGCTGATATTAAGGCCATCTTACAGATTATAAAACTGATAAGTAGAGAAACCGCATTTAGTTCATAGACACATGGTTATGAATAGCCAATCTAGTATCAGAAAAAAGTTCTTCCATATCTAATCTCAAGTGCTTTCCACTAACCCTTGCAATATTTTTTATTATCAGAAGCTTATCTACATTTCATATTGGTCTTTTTCTGACTTTGCCACCACTCCTCTTTCACCCCCTAGATACACCAAAATGAAGACTGCCACCAACATCTACATTTTCAACCTTGCTCTAGCAGATGCCTTAGCAACCAGTACCCTGCCCTTCCAGAGTGTCAATTACCTAATGGGCACATGGCCATTTGGAACCATCCTCTGCAAGATCGTGATCTCCATAGATTACTATAATATGTTCACCAGCATCTTTACCCTCTGTACCATGAGTGTCGATCGTTACATCGCAGTCTGCCATCCCGTCAAGGCCCTGGATTTCCGTACTCCCCGCAATGCCAAAATTGTCAATGTCTGCAACTGGATCCTCTCTTCAGCCATTGGTTTGCCTGTAATGTTCATGGCAACAACAAAGTACAGGCATGGTAAGTTGCAGACCTGAGGGATGAAGGGTTTATAGACTGACATGCTGGTGAAGTCATGAGTGGTCCAACTTCTTAGTCAAATTGTAATATCAGTGATTTTTTTCTAACAGAATGCCTTTGAATCTTTTGTAATATGAATTCTCCCCTAAATTTTAAGCACACTAAACATCTTAAAGAGACTATAATCTATTGTTTCCTGATTTCTCTGCATTGACTTCATCAAAATGAGGGCAAACTAAGACTATAGCTCTTACAAGAATGATTAGACTTAAACCCCAAAAAACATTAAGTTGTTTTAAAATTTCAAATGGCTGCTAACATGACAAATTTATTTTTCTAGTCCTCATATCAGAATGATGAACCACCCATCAAAAATGGAATGAAAATATCCATTAGCTGGAACCTCCTACAGATTTTGGACAGTGATTGTATTTTTTATGTCAACATAGACCCCATAGAGGATCTAGCTTACAAAAGGTTCCACAATTGTTGACTGAATGAAAGCTTAATGTGATCAAAATGGACCAAAAAATGAGATATTTAGAAAAAAAAATCTAAAAATAACTCTCCCTGAAAATCAACAGAGAGCTGAGTTTCTCCCTCAATTTCTTTAAATCTTCCCCTATTGGCTTCCCTTAATGGATTTATGTTAGCTCTGGTCAAAGCTATAATTAGATGTTGCTGCTAATTCTTCCTTATAATTATTGTTTTCCAGGTTCCATAGATTGTACACTCACATTCTCTCACCCAACCTGGTACTGGGAAAACCTGCTGAAAATTTGTGTTTTCATCTTTGCCTTCATCATGCCTGTCCTCATCATTACAGTGTGTTATGGACTGATGATCTTACGCCTCAAGAGTGTCCGTATGCTCTCTGGCTCCAAAGAAAAGGACAGGAATCTGCGAAGAATCACCAGGATGGTGTTGGTGGTTGTGGCTGTGTTCATTGTTTGCTGGACTCCCATTCACATTTATGTCATCATTAAAGCCTTGATTACAATCCCAGAAACTACATTCCAGACCGTTTCCTGGCACTTCTGCATTGCTCTAGGTTACACAAACAGCTGCCTAAATCCTGTCCTTTACGCATTTCTGGATGAAAACTTCAAACGATGCTTCAGAGAGTTCTGTATCCCAACTTCCTCCACCATCGAGCAACAAAACTCCACTCGAGTCCGTCAGAACACTAGAGACCACCCCTCCACGGCCAATACAGTGGATAGGACTAACCATCAGGTATGCAGCTTCTAGAATTGGGTACACCTACTGGGGATGACATAAAAATTATAGAGTTTGTACCAATCCAAGTTTTAATCCATTAGAAGTGAATCAGTAACTAAGGGATGAAGGTTCTCCCCCTGTGAGGACAGAGGGAGGAGAACAGCAAATTATGTTCATTGTGACAGAGAGGTACTTTACATTTTATAAACAGCTTTATGTATTTGTATGTATTTATTTAGAGATACACCAACTAGAAATTCATAAAGCTGCTAAAAAGCAGTATCTTCACAGCTGTTGCTTCTATGCAAAATTAATGATGTTAGCACATTGTGGAAGTGATGCTGTTCTAGAATTCTTCTCATTTTCCCCAATGTTTATGTTTCATGCATATCATTGCAAGTCAGTCCTGTTCTGGTTCTGTGGTTAAACAGAAAAGGTCATCACTTCACTCACTGTAGTGATGGGTGCCAGATGTTCCCAGCAAATCAGTGTCACAGCAAAGGAGAAAAGACCAAAAAAAACCAAAACCAAACAAACAAACAAACAAAACAGCTAGTCCTAACTTGTTCAGCCATTGATTTGTCAATCTTTATACCTGAACTCTAGAGGAAACATCAAACATATTACTTAATTATTAGAACTAACTTACTTTTTAATAGTCATTATACCAGTTAATAGGGTGAGGAGTGACTATTTTTTGGAAGATATATTCCTATGTGCAGAGTACAAAGGGCAGCCTGCATGGGAGAGGTAAGATTTATACACAGTATTATAGTCACAGGAGAATCAGAAAAGAGAAAAATTTGTCTCTAAGTTAATATGATCTTGATAAGCCAATGATGTGCAAAATTTGGTGTCTGATAGAAGGTAAACCAAACATATCACTTAACTCTTAATATTAATTTAAATAAATAAACTTTCAAATAATAGTGTCAGCATCCAAAAATCCAAAAAAGCCTCCGTAATTTTATAACACAGAACTCAAATTTGAGCTTCCAGTGAAGTAAATCCTTGAGTCAGAACCTGGTCAGAGGCCAGGACTCTGAGAACAGATGCCTCCATAAAAACGACTGGAAGTCTAATTGAGGAGGCAGACGAAGATCCTTACAGTACAGAGCGGCTGCCTCCTCTCCATTTTCTTTTCCCCAGGCCCCACTCTGTCTCCCCCACGCCCACTACCAGCCCCCAGCGCAGCCCCACCCAGGTTTACCCTTTCCTACTGACAACAGGCCTAGCTTAAGGAGGCCCACATGGTCTGCCATAGGAGGCGCTAATCCTCACACCTCTGCTATTAAATAATGCTAAAAGGAACACTGGAATTTGGGCCCTTTAGGCAGTATAAGCTAATGATGGCCAACCGACTGCCAACCGAAGGGAAATTACTACTTTATTTTGTGTCACTTCTAATCCCATTTCAGACTGAGTAATAGACAGAAGAAATGTTTTTCCACTCTGCTTCTTTTCTCTATATTTTTTCCACATCAAGACTTCTCTAAACCTGCTTCTTCTACTAAGCAGCTCTCCCTCTCAGCAGCTATTAAAAGCTTGTGAGTAACTTAAAGAGGGTAGGGATTCAGAAGATTTTCTCTGACCTGAGGATAATATATTGCAGAATGCAATTTAAAACTCTCAATCCTAAACCAAGGTTAACACATTTTGCCTTGGAACAAAGTACTTCCATTGGAGCATAGGGATGGAACACTCTATAAAGTATTGATTCTTGCTCAGTTGGGGCCTGCCCCACCTTCCCTCTCTTGCAGGCACGCTGGGATGCAGCTGTGGGTAGCTTTACCCTGGACCACTGCGGGGGCCTCTTGTCACGTCTGATTCTCTCAGTGTCCTTCCCCCACCTGCTCTCCTGGAGACACAGCTCCCAGCCTGTCTGGTGCAGCCTTTCTCCTGAGTTCAGTATGATTGTCCTTCAGTTGCCCCGACCCCGCTCTTGACTCCCGTCCAGATCCAGCATTTTCACATTAGTGTGGTTCCTGCACAGCCAGAGAGAAGAGAAAGGAAGCTAATTGAGGAAGCTCTGTTCTAAGTAACTAAAAGGTTTGCTTTAAAAATACATCCACTTAGGGCTTATCTTCATTGCTGTCTCTATGAAGCAGCATCAGGATCAGATAACAGCAGAAACACATTAGCCCTGGAATTGGCTGCTTTCCCAAAATGCCTAGCTGGGAGGGCTGGACAGAGAAGAGCGGCTGACAGGAAAAGAGGAAAAGACACTCTGACATATTTGAAAATTAAGATAAATCAAAGATCTCTTTCACTCATCTCCACTGATGTGTCATCGTTAGAATCAAGGCGGTTACACACAGACATCTGGAACGATACATAAGCCTTTGGTGAGAGTTTCAATGAGATATCAAAATCATGAAATTATTTGAAGGAAAGATCAAACACTTTATGGCCGTGTCTATAGGACATAGTTGGTTAGTCAGACAAATTCAGAATCTGACTGGCAGGTTTTTGGGTTTTTTGTTTGTTCATTCATGTTTTTGTTTTGACACCATGAGCCATTATGTTGCAAAGCAAAGCTAATTGGATTTGCATGAACTTTTTGACTGCTTGTTCGGAGTTGGTACTGTTGTAGATGTTTATGTCCCTCCTATATATTTGTATTTTCTCCAAGAAATAGATTATCCTCTATATGTCATGTTTCAAGCGCATTAGTCAACTTCATATTCTGCAGATCAGAGATCCAATATCAAACCTTCCCAGGGTGTCTGTATTCTGACAACTGTACACTGAGACCATGTCCCTACAGCGCAAAATGAAGAGTTGGCAGTTATCAAGGTAATTTGATAAGCCGTATGAGAAAATTCTGTGCCCCAAATAAACTTTGCCTCATATTTACATAGTTAAGGGCTATTTGGTCAGCTTTTGCTACATAACAAATCATTCCAAGACATAGTGGCTTAACGCAACCATTTACGTAGTTTGAGCTTCAGTAGATCGGTAGTTTGAGCTGGGCTGGGCTAGAATGTTCTTCCGGCCTTAGCCAGGCTCACCCGAGGGGCAGCTGCCACTGGCAGAACTGCCATCAGCTAGCTGAGCTGGGATGAGCCCTGCAAGAGTGGCAAGCTCCGCATGGATCCTCATCCTCCAGCACGTTAGCCCTGCTGTCCTCATGGTGGTCCCAGGCCCTAGGTTCAAGGGGTGGCAAAACAGACCTTACCTCTTGATGGTAGGAGCTGCAGTTACATTGCAAAGGGGTGTGGATATAGGGATGGAAATCACTGTGGCCTCTTTGGCCAACTATCTACAGTAGGTGCATGCTGCACTGGGGGACAGGCATAGCTTCCTGAGGGCATGAACCATATCTGCCTTGCTCCTTCTTCTTTCTCCAGCAGCTATCTAAAACAGTGTCTGACACATTAAAAAAGTACTCCAAAAATATCTGTTGAATGAATGAATGATCAGAGGGCTTATGATATTTCAGGAGATTATGGAGGGCGGTAAGAATGACCCCTTTCTTATGCAACTGATGGACAACCTCAATGCTTGCATAACACTCTGACGTTATTCCAGGCTCACTCTTCAGTAACTGGAAAATATTCACGAGAGGGGTTCTTTGTTTTCTTTTCTCTAGTCCTCTGATCAAAAGTTCTACTTTCCAAAAATTGTTACATTTGTGCTTGTCTTCTAATTTTATTTTTAACAAGTACTATTGATGAGCCGGCCAAGAACTGGATTCGGTGCCCTAAAGAGGTCTTGCCCTAAGTATAAAAAAATAAAATAAAAGATGTCCTCATGTCCTTTTGTGCATTCCAGGGCTCAGCCTCCTGCTCCAGCTGTAGGACTCCATGCCTGATTTATGTTCCGCTCATTGTCTTTATGGCTTCTAGATTTTTATTGGGTAGACTTAGACATAAGTTTTCCATCTGCTTTCCGTGCAATTTAATCTCTCTGTAGGTGTACCACCCAACAGTTGTTACTGGACCCCACCTTGCTTCAGAGCACTTCCCCCATTTGCTCAGATAAATTCAGATCAGTTCAGACCTGAGATGCTGGCCATGCCCACGTGCCTTCACTGCTTGGTTTCCCACCCTGGTTGTATTCCATAATGCATTTTCTGTTGTGATACCTAGATTATGTCCTTTAATGGTTAACATTATATGGGAAAAGAAACAACTCTATTAGGCCAGTTGGATTATTATTTAAAGAGTTTGTATTAACCATAACCATCATAATAATGCTATCTTACATTTTTATCACTGCCTACAGATTAAAAAGGTTTTTTGTGTGCACTGTTGCCTTGGCTTCCTACCACAACCCTGATGGGTAAACATGAAAAACTAAATGCTCAGGGAGGCTCAATGACTATAAAAATCAAACCACCAGTAAGAGGCAGAACCCAGACAAACATCTGGGCTTCCAACATTAATCCAAAACTTTCCTCTGCTTTCCTACACAATGCCGATTTGTGCTCAAATATTATTACAGGGTCTCAGCCAGAGGTTCTCAAACATTATTATGCGTATAAGTTCTGAGAAACTCCTTTAAGAAATTCTGGTTCACTGGGTCAAGGTCGAGGTAGGGTCCAAGTATCTGCATTTTGAATAAAACATGAAATTGAAAACGATTTAAATTGTAACTTTATAAAATACTATTAAAGTTACTGTTTTGTCTAACCTGGCTACCATTTTAGTCAAGCTGATTGGTAAGAATTTTTTCACCAAATGAGTCTTGTGTTTAACGAAATAATGTAGCTACAGTGGGAACAAAGCCTTAACTTTCTATCAGTGAGTCTTACAGGATATAGAGATATAACATTGATAAAGTTAATATTATGGTACCTCCTGCCAACTTCTTCTCATTAATATGGCCAGTCCAGCCCTAAGCCCTCTGGTTACCATTTTTAAAGCATTTTCTTGACATTTTAATCCAAGTAGCATGTCAAGAAATTAGGAGATGCTTTGCAATTGTATTAACTACAAACCTATATTATCCCCAGCTAAACTAAAAGCAGAAGCCTAATTTTTTAAATCAACCACATCACTCTCAAAAACTAG